AAATTAATTTCCATATAAATATTTTCATATTTAATATTTTCATTTACGCATCAGTTATTTGATTATTTTACCAATAATTATTTTTAAAAATATGTTCATTATATTTGGAAGTTAAGATTATAAAGAACAAAACGTTAGTTTTATTACTATTGGTTCTTTTAATAATACAATAAATTCCTTTATTTATTATTTATTGCATTCTATACCTCAACAAATTCGAAACATTAATAATAAATTTTATGCATAGTGCATAGAATATATAAAAATAACAATTTTATAGTACAATTTTAATAACTACTTTTATAAAACTTTCTAAATACAACCATCAAGAGTATAAATATCTGAATACATGAAAAACTTAATTGGAGCATAATTTTCTGCTTTTTCATTACTTTCTTCTTATTTTTTCATGACCATTTTTTAATTTTATATCGCATAATATATTTTTTCTCCTTATTATTTTTCTCGTTATCTCGTTGTTATTAATAATATTATATTAACCACAGAAATTTTGCCTAATTACACATACTCTCACAATTCTATACCCATTTAGTCACTTTTTTCTCTACCATTTGTTCTCTTTTTTCTTCTCACTTCTTCCCGAAGTATTTTCTATTTCTTCATTTGAAATCAGATAGCAAATAAATTTAATAAGTTTTAGTTAAAAAAAACCTAGTTAAATAAATATATTATACTTTAATTGCATATGTATACAAATAACACTCAATTTTTTCATTTAGTCTTAATGTAATTGAGTTCAGTTTTGATCTTTTAAAAATTTAATTTAATAATCTTTTAACAGTATATTTATTCTAAGATAATTTAAAAAATATTTGTAATAATATAGCAATTAGAAGAAATAATAAAAGTAAAGAGTTTTACAATATTTAATTTATTTCCCATATATTTAGAATAAAAATAGAACATCACTTTATCATTAGAAAAGTGAATCACTGTTTAATTTAAGTCTTTAATATTTAATCTTAAGATGAATGAAAGTGCTTATTTATTTATTATATAATTATTAAATTAAATTTGACACAAAGTATAAAGTCCTAAAAAAGATTTATTTTCGATCTCAAACTGCATCTTATATAACTATGAAGTATTCGCGGTACAGTAAAAAATATCATATTTTGTCAGTTTTATAAAAATAAATTAGTACAAGTATAAGGAATCCATTCGTAATATCCTTTAAGAACTCATTAATTAAAGTGATACTGGAAAAATGGCTTTAAGGTCTCATTTGTATTTCAATTGAAGATGAGAGGGCTGACAGCTTTATTTTTATTTTGATACAAAAATATAGGATTCGAAAAAATTACATCGAAATAATATATAAGGGAAGCAATAAATATAATTAAAAAATATTAGCAAATTTAATATAAGCATTGAATTTTTAAAACTTAATCCCGTATATTTTATGCGAAACTGGAAGTAAATAATAAAAATTATAAATGGTTTTCAGAATATTCAATAAAGTAATGAAAACATAATTATACTAAAATTTAAACTTCTTATATATGCATATTGGGCATACGCACTTATGCACTTGCTCATACATGCTCAAATATGTGCACATATGTGCATATAAATTACAAAAACCAACAGAGTTTAAATATATTAAGAGTTTAAAAAAAAAAAAAATAATAAAGAACATGGAAAATCATACAATAATACTGTACAGGTATTATGAAGTACAAGTAATATGATTATTTCATTCCAACTATTTTATATTAGATATTACCTTTATTACGTAGGGGTCATTAAAATAAAGTTTATATTAAAAAAAAAAACTAAATAAAAATCATATAATAATGAAATATCGAAAAATTAAACAAAGCAAAATTTATAAATTATTTAAAATTTTCTAAACTCTATTACAGATAATCAACAAATACGGCTTGCTTTTGAAAAATCATTGCCTTGTGAATTAGAATCAAAAAGTTCAGAGGATTTATTTAAAAAATTAGTAAAGGATTAGATATAATGAGAAATCATATAAAATTTTTCATCTTCACTTATTTTGTTAACTTATCGTCGTATTGAATAATAAATAAACAAAAAACAATAAAATGACTTCTAAACACCGAAAAGCTGAATTATGAAGATGAAAGTATCATGGCGGCTATTTACTGTTGCCACTGTTCCTGTTTACATAGAAAGGAAGTGAAAAATCATGAAAATTTTGAAAAAATTAAAAAAAAATCTATATAAGATCACGGATTATTAACCGTGAACAACTGACCGGTGGTTACTATATACACGATTCAATGGCGAAACGTTTCCAAAGTAGATGATATGGAGATCGAGGATGAGCTGGACGAGAAATCGGTAACAACTATGGATGAGGTAATTGGTCTTCTCATTTTTCATTTCTACTTTACTTTACTAAAAATACTTTTCTATTAATTATCATAGAAATTTTCAAAAGCTAGTTCAATGATGTCATTACTTAAATTATGATATTACATTATGTAAGAACCGCATTTATTTGAAGAGATTTTATCTGAAGATATTACATGAGATTTTTTAAGTACTAATTACTTTAAAAATTGTTTTGTATAAAATTTATATTAGATAGAAATTAGATTACGTGTTGTAAAAATATTTTTATCTATCAAAGAATTCCCTCGAAGTAATTATATTATCCCGTATCATAAGTATTTATAATCAAATTAATTTTATAAAATCAGAACAGTTATACAATTTTAAAAGACTTGTGGGATACTGAATTAATTGAATAGAAATGCTATAATGCATACCATAAATCAACTGAAATAATGTCTCATTACTATTCAAATCAATACACATCATCATTTCAATCTATGCAAATAAACAGAGTTGTTATATTCATACTAAATGCATACTAAATATTATGTTCTTATAAGTTGCGTATTTGACGTTGTTCAAGTCTATGATTCCATACTTCCTTAATAGAGGGTTAAAATTTGATTTCTGTCCGGATATTATTTTTTAGGTCTTTATACTTAAAGTATCGCTATTATATGAAAGAATTTAAATAGATGTTACGATGATCTGATAGTTGAAGAAAACTTAACTCAATACAAGATATTATATTATAATCAAGCTTATAAATTATATTTTGTTAAACTTCAAATTTTAATTATTACATTAATATCAAATTATTAAAATATTTTATTTGAATTATATTATAAACTTTTATTTGAAAATATAAAATAACATAACTGGGTTAATAATAATTACATTAAATGTAATAATTACTCCTAATGATTACATTTTAATTAATATTGTATATATTAATTAGTAGGTCTAATAATAATTATATAAATTTGATTATGAAACTTCCATTACGTATTATTTTATTATATAAAATTTTGCTATAGTAGACTCTGGACAGATTAATCAACTTGTTTTTCATTTTTTATTTTCATATTATGCGTGATTGATGTGGAAGATTTTAATATATTATATTTGAATGAAATAAACAGAAATCTTTAAAGAAATACATCCATAAGTAAATATCAATGATATTTTAATTATGCAAAATTTATAATCAAAGCATAACACCATAAATTATAATTTAAATATTTATTATAAAAGTTATTAAAAAATATAATCCATTTACAACAATGATTTTATGTTACTTTATGTTACTTATGCTACTATAACTAATGTTACTTTACCCCGTATTTTTTATAAAATAAAGACGAACTATAAATTGTAATTTTATAAGTTCTTTATTTTGAATCGATCCACATTATTAAATATGAAATCGTATGTTATATTTTTAAATTAACTAAAAATATATATTTACATTACTATATAAAATATATATATATATTAATGAGATAGCAGTTTTAGTTTTATATATACGTGTATCAGATCAATATCCATAAATTATTATATAAGAAAAATTACTGAAACATTGAGCTGAAATAATAAAAATCCTGAAATATTAATTTTTTATTTTATTTGTTTTGTTAACAATTTTTTTAAAATAATCAATATATATATATATATATATATAAATTATTATATCTTAAAAGGTAAATTTTTCGTATATAAAAAGAATTTTAATATTAACAATTTTTACATTATAAAAGTAAAATTTACTATGCAAGTAATTATGAGTAGTAGTTTTTGCGATATTTTATTTTACAGAAAATCGTATATAAAGAACAAGAAATCGAATATATCATTAAAAAAATATGACGTATTCTAGATCATCATTTTAATTATTTAGACATCGAAATAGGTAAGGCCAAGTTGCTAGAAAAATAATATTAATAGATGTGGCGATAATATCATTATTCTCATTTTTTTTTACATTATATACCTTTTTTATTTTTATCACGACGTTTTTTCCAATAATTACTACGTGTATTATATTTTGATAAATTCTAATAAGTGCTTAATTCAGGAATAAAATACATAATCTTTATTTTATAAATTATTTGTTGTAAAACGCAATGTAATTATTATTTGTTGTAAAACGCAATCATATTTATTAATAATCCTCAACAAATATAAAAGATAGTCAGATAAAATATAAAAAATAAAGATACCTATGTTTGAATACTTTATTTTCTAAAATGATTTCATCTATTAGATGTTGAAAGTTGATTGTATTATAAATTCATTTAAATATGTTGAAAAAATATTTTCCCTAATTTATTTGGATGAAAAAATTAATGAAAAAAGTAAAATAATACGTTTTATTACAATAAAATGTTGCAATGCATGTATGAAAAATATGCAATATTTAGAATTAAAGATTTTTTAATTTTATCTATTTAGTTAGTTAACTTTAGCGGAAACATTTATTAACATAATATGAGAATTATACATGAATTGCATTGATGCTTTAATATATTATTTATAAGAAATTAAGAGAGAATATAATCACGGAGGAAAAATTTTAAATAATAGAAAAACGATTAATTAAAGGACAAACTTTGTTAATGCCGTGTTTCAGATAGGCCTGGATAACAACAACTTCCAGAGCTCAACAAATCCAATGAAAATCTCGACCATGCCGATGTCCTCGAACGTCGTAGAGGAGAGAGAAAAATGCTTAATGCAGTGCTCATCTGCACTCAACGACGGCGAAACTTATGATAATGACGATAGGAAGAGTAAGGAGTCTTTTCTGAAGTCCTGCCGTTGGCAAGAAGAATCAAAGTTATCCTTAAATTCGGGCATCAAGACTGAAAGGCCAGGCAAAGAACCGGCCGATGAAGAAGATAGAGACGGTGATAGGCCCGATGTCACCGCCGGATTAGCCCAACTTAAAAAGCTTTCTTGTCAAGAACAGATAGGTAATCTCAATATGGAAAAAATCGGCAGGTATTTGCATTTTGAACTTTCCAATTAATTAAATTATTAATTTAAATGAACCATGATATTTCATATTTGATTTATAAGCTTATGAAATCTTTTACTTATATATGACTTGGTAAAAGAATCTTATGTTTAAGTAAAACAAAATAATATGTCATTCGTGAGTTAAACATTTTGCAAAATACGATTTTTATTTACATGTATTTAGCTACGTATTGATATATTGGAAAATCGTAACTTCTATTTTTCATATACATAAGGTTCCATTTGTATTCGAAAATGAAAATCATTGATGTCGTATTTAATAAGTACATTGTAATTAATAAAGTAATGAGATAAAAAAAATAGAAAAAGAAAACATTATGGAAAATATAATACAAAAATGGTGCATTTATAATTAAATAATAAGTAATATTAAATTAAATTGTTTTATAAAGTTGATTTATAAAAACATTTGAAACAAATAATGAAATTTTTAAAAACAGATATAAAATGGAGAAATTTATACATATTATTAAAATTCAACTGTATAAAGGATTTGGTTATAAAAATAAAAGTAATAAATGTTAAATTTAGAAAAATATGGTTAAACAATTATTAACTGAATAATTCATTAATTGTACAAATTATCTTAATTTCATAACTAAGGTATAATATTTTTGATTATTAATAAATTGAATATATTAAATAAATAAATAAATATATATATATATATATATATAGATATATAATTATGATTAATAATTATAATGATAACAATAATTAATTAATAATTATGTTTAAATAAATAATATTCTATAACTTATTATTATATATGTATTATTATAAAGTTTATCATTAACTTGAAAATCATAAAAATCATTCTATTTAAAAATTAATGAACATAAATTTTCGTTCAAATTAAACTGTTACTTATAGTGCAGCGAGAAAAAATTCTGAATAACTAGCAAAACTTTAAAGTGAAATTCTAAAGAAAATTAGTTCTATTCATTCTTTATTTTGCTTCTGTAACATGAACTATTAAGTAAGTATTTCGCGACTAAAAGACTTATTAAAATTAATCTCTATTTTTTATATTATAAATATATTATTCTCTATTTTAACGTTATTTTATGCAATTTTTAATATGGCACAAGCAATAGTTTTGTATATTATGCAGGAATAGTTTATGTAAACATATAATTTATCTTTCCTTTTATTTATGTAAAAAGTGAAGCATTGAAAAAATTTGAAGTGTAATTTATTTAATAAAAATTTTATTTCTTCATTGAAATTAAACTAAGACTTTTTTGTAATAAACAAAGCTATTTTAGTTAATAAAAAAGTACGTTGCATTCATAGAAGCAAGCGTGTATTCATTTATATTGTTTGTCTTATTATCAGTGACTTGTCCTGTATTTATTTATTTTTAAATAATATTATCACTTTATTAATAATGAGTAATATTAATATTAATTGAAATATCTGATTATCATCTTTGTTGATTGCATACATTATTTTATATTGTTTATGAAAAGATTATTCACTTTTACCCTATTAAATTTCGTTTTATTAAATTAATAAACATTAATTGGATTATTAATCTGAGAAATGAGACACGAAGTATATAAGAAAAGCGATTTTGGACAAATCGTGTTGGTAATTACGAGCGGAATAAAAAACAATCAAATAAATCAAACTAAGATTTGGTTATTTTTATATTCTAATTGTGAATTCTAAAATAATTTTCTTGTTTAAATGATTTTACGCATCATATTAATTTTAAAATGTTGTTCGTTATGATACTTTAATGATTATATATATAAATTTTATTATGTCATTTCATAAAATATATATATACACACGCGCGCGCGCACATACACACATATATATATATATATATATACAGGCTACATATATTCATAATTATTTATCGAATATATTGGAAAAACAAATCTATATATATATATATATATATATATATATATATAATATGTTTTTAATGTGATTAAAATACAATATTTGAATTTTTTTAAATAACTAATGGGCTATCTTATGAAAAGACTGTTTACTGTAATAAAATAAAAATTTATATTATACTATAAATATGTAATGTAGTAAATCATTCTGTATAAGGAATGTATGTACAATTTAAAATTCAGCTATATTTCAGCGTATATAATTAATTCAGTGTATAAATTTATTATATAAGAAATAAAATTCAGTTTATTTAAACGTTACTTTAGTGTAGTTCAACGTACTATTAATCAATAATTATCAAATTTTTAAAAATCATTTTATATTATGTAAATAAGTTTTGAATAAATTTATATTAATAATTTTTTTTCAATAATTAGTCACACAAATAATCTATGTAGATACGCACATTATTTTTTATATAAATAATAGAAAGTGGATATTTTCAATTTATTTTCATCAAATTCCAATATTCTATATTTCGATAAATTACTGAAAATAATTGTCGATACTTTAAATGAAAAAAGTCACTGTTCAAACAAGCTCAATAGAACATCAATTTTTTAAATAAATCATTAATTCATAGCAATGAATGCCGACCAAAACTTCATAAAATTACAATAAAACTCACCGATAGGATATACTTACAATTAATGCATAATATAATACATTAATTCAAATATATAATTATTGGTGTGTTTATCATAGTGATTGTTGCTTTAAAATCCCTCTCGCTAGATTCTTGGAGGCCAACCCAACATTGGCCGAAACATGGATTCGTGAACACGCGAGTATTGAATTGAAGCTGCGCCTGCAAACGTGCTGCCTCGTACCCACGAACTCTTCCTCCGCAAGTTTGCAATTCGAAGAGAGTACGCTAACGTGTAGTAAGCGCAATAGTATCACATCGGACTTGTTTCAGTCTTGGCTGGCCTCTAATTCGCCCATCAAACGTAGTCGCAGTCCTAGCAGGTAACCACTACCTTGTTCATAACATAAGAAATATGATTTAATGTTCATTTGACGAGGTTTCTGGAGAATTTAAATTATTTCTGCTTAAATTTGTACGATTATTGAAGTGAAACAAAAGAAAAATTAATCTCTAAATCAAAGTAATATCATGGTATTAATAAGAATTGGGAATCGAAATTGGGTAAAGAATACTTCTTAAAGTAAATTGTGGTCTCCGAAAGGTACATGACATATTAGTACTTAACTTCTTTCAATTTTCTAAATAATATTCCTATTTAGAATTTGTTCATTATAATTAAAAAGATGTGGCTACAGAAGGTAAAATTTTTTTTAGTTAAAATTTTAAAAACTTTACGTGTTATTTATGTACGAATGCTTTTTCTGATGACACGTGAAGAATAATAATGAAAAAATTAAATTTTATGAGAGAGACTTTATATAAAAGCAGATCCTTTGATTTATTCAAAGCTTGATAATCAAATCAATTGCGTATGTAAATAAGAGATAAAAATTAAAATAACTAAATATGAAAATTCAATTAAATTAAATAAATTATAATTATTTTCATAAAAATAAGCAAAGAATCAAAATTTATTTAATACTTCATGTTGATATTTCATTAGCATTGGGAAAAAATTTTTCGATAAATCCTATAATGTATTATTTTTAATTGAATAAAAGCAAAGAAAAAAGTTTAATAAATTTGTATAAACGAATCAAGTTAATATTTGTTTTTTTTTTTTTTTTTTTTATTATTTGAAGTACTCTATATAAGAATGTTTCTCTAAATAAAAATATAACTTTCGTCACACTCCCATGAACAATAATGAAAATGAATGTTATTTTTATATCTTAAAGGATTTTCTAATTTCTCTTAAAGTATTTGCATGATAAAATTTTGTTAGTCACAAAACAAAATAAAAATTTTTTTGGCCATATGTCTTGCTTTCTATCTCTTTTTTATCCGACGAAAAAAAAATAACATCGTCATTTTCTAGACCAATAAATACAAACTGACTGTATCATTCCGAATAATACATTGTCGATATCTCTTGAGCCCCACTCAATGGCATTTGTACTCGCAGATAGGACTGTTCACATCAAATTTTTTACATCCATATCATCTTTTTCAAAAATATCCATCTAGTATTGATAGATAAAAGTTTTTCTAGTACTAATTCTAATTAAATTTTTATAATAAAATAAGATTTAACTTGTTTAAATACTAATTTAAGCATTTTTTGAACAATTTAATAATAAGTATTATAATATTATATTGATATAAATTTAATATTTATAAACAAATTTTAGTATAATTTAAATTTATCTTAAATAATATTCATGTGAGTACAAAATTTAACGTTATATAAAATGTAACGTTATTATTTTTATTATTTCAATTAAGATCTCCTCGTAATCAAAATGTTATTTCAAATTATTTTATATATAATTTATATAAAATTTTTTATGGTTCTATTTAGATTTTATGCAAAATTATACGGTAATTATATATATTATAATTATAAATAAAAAATACATCATTGTTTTATAAATAAAATTTGTAAATTTTGTAAGATGTAATTAATTATGCAATACCTAATGATTATTAAATTTTAAATAAAAAATATAGTCTAAAATCACAAGACTGATTATGCAAAAAGAGAACATGTTTGAAAATATAAACGAGGATATTATTAAAATTATAATGATGAAGTATAAAACAATTATGACAGTATAAAGTAATAAAAAAGCAGTATAAAATTAAGCTATATTAGAAGTAACTAAATTCTTACTAATTTACGACTATTTCTATGAAATGTGTTAATTCAACGTGTAAGTAAAATATTAATTTTATAGTATTAAATTTTCATTTAATACTCAATTTAATGCATCTCTTTAATAAGATCCAAAGAAATATATGAACCTAATTTAATATTTATATATTTAGATGATATGTGTGCGCGCGAGCACATATGATAATATTTAATTTTTTTATTAATATTTTCTTATGTAGTGAAAAAGATATTTCATCTAATATACGTTATAGGAGTTGCTTTTTAAATACATTGTTAGCCATTTCGGGAACAATGATTATATTATTGATTTTATTACATTCTGATCAATCGATGCCTTTAATATTTTATGAATAAAAAAGTTAGAGAAGCGGGGAACGATGAGTAGTAGGTCGCAACTATCAGCAGTCGGTAGCGATACAAGAGCGACAGTTGTTTGAGTCCTTGTAAAAGTCAGCATACACTTTATGTTAATTAAGTTTAATAGAGCCATATATACTTATATTTCGAGAAAAGTATAATATAAAGGACAGGGAACATTGAATGCCGACATGAAAGTAACAATAACGTGATATTAAATCTCTATCCTATGCAAATTATAACTCGATATCTACGTGTAAGTACACAATATCATTCTCTATTGTGATTAAGCACACGCCCCCGGCGTCTATATACAAGTCACGCAAGGAATAACAAGTGCACCAATATTAAATATTCCGCGCCTGTAGTGGAACATACATATACATATATATATATATATATATACACATACATTTATTCTTAAGTAAGCAAAAAAAAAAAAAAGGAAGGAGCCTTTCATTTTATCTATTTTATTTGTAAATAATGTACAGAAATATAGATCAAAGCCCAAAAACCCATTTATTTTGCTAGTCACTATAAAACAAAGGTTAATAATAAATTCATAACAACAAGAGATAAATTGAATATTAGTATTTTTCATATTTTATTCACTTTGAAAATTATTATTAAATTTATTTTTGACAACGTAATATATCGTGGAAAAATTAAAAATAAAATTATTATGTTAATTAACGAAACATTTTGTATGCTTTAATACACATTAAAGCCGAATACGTATTATTATATATTAAAGCTGAAAATGTTAATGAAATGATCTGAATTATCGACTGCTTAATAAATGGAATTTTAAATTTTAGAGAATAGTTGAACATAAGAAAATGAAAAAACTGATATACTTCCACAGTTCTTTATTGTAGTAGTGATTAAAGCTTTGTAATATAAAAAGTACGTTTAAGATAATTAGGTGTAGATATGCTAAAACAAGTATAAGTACAATTCGGGATAATAAAAAGTTTTAATTTAATAGCTCAGAAAAAAAGATATACTTACTTTTAGGTTGATTAGAAAGACTTTGAACACCATCGATACTAATTACACTTAGACACTAAACTATAATATTCTTTTTAGTGCCATCGTCGCTGATTTGTTGTTTGTTAGTGTAAAAGAAGTCTAACTTTTAAAGCTATTCAAGTAAAATTACAGCCAGAGAATTAAAAAGTAAATTAATATCACAATGTTTTAATGTATTCTGGAGTAGAAATCAATATTACTATGTTGGTAATTTTCTAACGAATGAGAACTGAATGAGTTACGACTGATGCATTATTTTATTTTCAAAGATTTCAACTTCCATCAGTTACATAACTGCATAAACAGAGGAAGTGAGAATGAATTTATAAAAGACTTTGAGGTTTGCCGATATTTAAGAAATATATTAATTTTTATACGATATATTTCAATCAGTCCTAATTAATTTTGCGTTAAATAATTAAGAAATTTATACAAATTAAATTAAATTATAGTTAAGTTATATAAGATTTCAGCTATAAAATGACAATTTATAACGATGATATATATTTATTACTCTTTAAACAATCTTTATTCATATTTATTTATTTGCCAGTATTTAACATCGTACTGCTATTTACTCGTGCTCATTACAAAATTATGATCTATTATGATAACACCTATCACTTCCACTAGTAATATTTACTAAATAAGTTTGATTAATTTAACGAAAAGCCGAACGAGAAACGGAGATAAAATTATATCATTTCTTAGCTGATCCAGTTATGCAAGATGGAACGAAAGGATTATAAATTAATAAATATATAAATCAATTAATTTACTATTAGGGATTCTGTTTTAATTAATTAATTTTGCGGATTTAAGAAGTTTTATTGGTTTAACCTTCGTGGTAGAATCTCGTATAGAATTCGCAAAAATATTCAAAGAGCGAATAAATCTTTGGTTTTAAATGTCAGTCTTAATATAGCGTTTTAAAGCGCGATACCGCTTGATTAATTAAATAATATTTTAACATATATCAGTACTTAATTTCTATTAAATGAAGGCGTACTATCCAAGAGATAAAAAAAAATCCACTTAATTTTCAGAGTTTCTTACAATTAAATGAATAAATACCCTTAAAAATAGCGAAAATCTCACGTATCACTCAGATCGTCGAGCACGCTGCTGGGGCGCAGAGAGGAACTAAACAGGCTGGATGAAAATGACCTCTTTATGGAACTGATACGTGATGTCGCGAACGAACTCGACATTAACATCCTCTGTCACAAAATCCTTGTTAATGTGGGCATCCTGACTCACGCCGACCGAGGGAGTCTCTTTCTCGCCAAAGGACCACTTGACGATCGCTATCTCGTCGCGAAACTATTTGATGTCACTCAGGATACGAATTTTGAGGAGGCCGTGCAGCATGCAAGGAACGAGGAAATCAGAATACCATTTGGTGTCGGGATCGCTGGATACGTCGCACAAAATAAACAAGGGATTAACATCAAAGACGCTTATAAGGTGAGTTACAATTTACTCAGCACAATTTACTCGGCCCTTTCATACCAATAATCTTATATTCATAATATGATTATCAATTCCAATTACATTATCCAATCAATTGACTGCACAAACGACGTGATTTTTAAAGCACATTTAAAAATGCCAAAAAATAATATGAAAAATTCCAATAAAAAGTTAGCTGAAATATAATTTACCGACCAGACGAATACTTTAACGGGAAATATTGTCATATTTGCGACATGGCGCCAGGCCTACATGAGTGAAACCATATCCGCTCAAGTCATTCAGAGACTCGACATTATTTTACCGCGTTAATAGGCACGTCACGGAGGTCCCCGGGACATCGGGCCGTCAATGACCTGAGTACAAACGTGCGCAAAGTACCCAAAAGTGCAGCGAGTGCTGCGTCTGCGTACTCTGAGAATACATGTAGGTAGCGATACTATACGCATAGTCGGTGCGCATCGAAAATTTTGCAGTCCACTCGGCGCGCAAACGGTGACCTGAGTCGTGAGCGAAGGCTGGAGCATCGATGATACATGTATTAATAATGCCGTGCGCAGGATATCGTAGTCGGTTTCTCTCAATTGGCATTTTGAGAGAATGTCCTCGATGCTTGGAAGTGATCGCATTCCCATCCACCGATTTTGCGATCATGCCTCCAAGTCTTGTAATCAGGCGGCTGTGATTGGCTATTATTATGCCGCGTATTAACCGTAAACGGATGACATTATGCAAGGCAACAACTATAACTCGGTGACGTTATGGAACTCGCTAAGCAGAACCGGAAGAAGGTTTTTTTATCGCATCATTTGTAAGTGAACGACATTACACAATGCGATGGCTCAGGTATATTACAGGGATATTCTGAAAGTTCTTGTATTTTATTAGCCTGATAAATTCAAATAAATCCGTATAAACCTGTTGCCCAAAGTTACAAGTATCGTGGTTAAGCTCGTTGGATATTTTATTACTTTTTAGAAAGTTTGCAACTTGTATTTATACGTGCATATGTAAATATAACTAACTACATATATCTCGGTCTATCTCATTTTTATTTATTTATTTATTTATTTATTTATTTTTCGTTTTTTTACTCTCAATTAATATGCCCATACATGACGACTATTTTCAAGTTTTATTATTCACTCGGGGTAACCCAGTTTATACAATACACACACAAAGAAACACACGCACACACACACACACACACACATATATATAGCCTGCGAATGCAGTGCTTCATAAAGGATAATATAACGATTTTTATCTGATTAATAAATTATATAATTAATTTTATTTTATGATTTCTTAATACTTATCAAAACAAAGAAATATAAATAATCTACACAGAAGTGCATATTTTATTTACAAATCAATCATTGAAATGCTTACTTACTTTATTATTGTGCAATTTAACACTTTGAAAAATTAAATCTCGATTAAATATTAATAAAATGATATAGCTAATTAATTACAAATGCCAAAGTACGTTTTTATACAAAATTCTATTGTTGAAGAATATGAATTAAGGAAAAAGTTTAATTGATTGACATTAAAAATTAATTAGCTGTCACTTCAATTATAATTTATAATTTACATTTTGTATTTAAAATTAAATATTTAAATAAATATACGAATTGTATTCAATTAAAAAGCATGAAACTCTTATTTTGTTAATAATTAGATATGTCATGAAAAGCAGCTTAATAATAGATTTATGTTTCAAATTTGTATATATGCGAGATAATGTAGAGTAATTTTAACTTAAAAATAGAATTATATTAATTATTTTTTAGGATCCACGATTTAACAGCGCAATTGACATGCGCACGGGCTACAAAACGACTCTGATACTTTCAATGCCAATTTGCAATTATGAAGGTGATGTCATAGGGGTTGCTCAAATTATTAACAAAACAAACGACAGCAATGAGTTTACCGATCATGATGTTGAGATATTTCAACGCTATCTTACTTTTTGCGGTATTGGAATACAGAATGCGCAATTGTTCGAGCTCTCTGTTTTGGAGTACAGAAGAAATCAGATTCTATTGAATTTAGCACGTAGCATTTTCGAGGAGCAGAACAACCTGGAGTGTCTCGTCACAAAAATCATGACCGAAGCCAAGGAGTTGCTAAAGTGCGAGAGATGCACTGTTTATCTACTTGACTTAGACTGCGGCGAGGCGGTAATTATCATCTGCTCTTAAAAGCATCTTTTATTCGTTTAAATATAAATATAAATATTGATATTTAAAATACATATTTTTTATTTTTAACATAAGCTATATGGCAATTAGTAATCTAAAGTCAATTAATATATTGGTTGTTTAAAATTTTTTATAATATCCGTAGATACTGATTGTAATATATTATCAATCATTTCCTCTGTTTTCAGAATATCATTTTAATTTTTAAAAATCTAAAATTAAATATGCATTTGTAGTCAAATACATTTATTATATTATTTTGTGCAATTAATCGAGGTATAAATTAATCAAGTTAATTAAAAAAATTTTCTAACCAACATAATAAATATTACATTGCAAAAATTTAATTACAAAAATTCTTTTTAAAAAAAAAAAAAAAGAAAATCAAGCCATATTGATATTATGACCGATTCTCTGATAATAGTATAATATGCTTTTAATAAGAATGAATAATGAACGTTTTTAATTTGTAATTATACATTAAATTACCATAATATTAAGTTGGTAATATACCATCGCTAATTTTTATAAACAAATTTTATATAAAGACATAAATTGTTAATGAAACTGACTTATTGTTTTTTATAATTTGTATATATAATAATACATTTACGAAAATAATGAATTTATGTAAAAATAATTAAACAATTTTTTATAAATATGATTTTCAATGAATAATATATTTTAATAATAATATGTTTAACTTGGATATGTACGATATCATCATATATCGAGAAAAATATGATGTTTCAAATAATTTAATTATAATTTATTATATATCTATAGCAATCGATTGAATAAAATATCTTCTATACGTAATCTCATTATATTCCTTTCAATTATAATGGAAAGAAAGATAGATAGATAAATAGATAGAGGGAGGGAGATAGAGAGAGAGAGATAGAGAGAGAGAGAGAGAGAGAGAGAAAGAGAGAGAGAGAGAGAGAGACAGACAGAGGGGGAGAGAGAAATCAATACGTAATAATGAAACATTAATATTTATTTCATTTTGTATATTTATAATTAAATTTATGGTATTATTTTTACTTACACTTTCTGTGTTTCTCTCTGAGTGAGTAGATAGGCAATGAAAATTTTAATGTTCTATAAATTTAATGACTTAGTTCTATAAATTTAACATTCTACAATTTAATGTTGATTCAGGGCCATTTAGAGAAAATTGTTGAGAGACCTGGAAAGTGTATTCAGGAATCAAGGAAACCCCTTTCGAGGAGAGAAGTAAGTATTGAGTTGAAATTTACATTTAAAAATAAGACATTAAGTAATATGAATTGTATAATTAAATTAATTATGATGTTTAGAGTAATAATATTGACATGGAAGACATCTTACAACAACACGTAAGCTAACACTGTGTACTAATAAATACTCTTTGTAGCACGTAAGAAACATAAAATAAATACACTTGAAAATACAATATCTTACATGTGATATACGTAATAAGACAAAAAATATAAATTATCATTAATTTAATATTATAGTTAAAGTGAATTGAAATACAAAAATTTTGATCGTACAGTTGAAAGCGCAAAAGCACCGTTTTACTACTAATGATATTTTTGTTGGTTTGGCAAATGGGAATTAAAATTTAAGTAAATTAATTGCTTCTATCGTTCTATCGTGGGAAAATTATTTTTCTACGTTTAGTTTTGTACCAATTTCATAATTAATGTACCTATTAAATATTAAAATTTCAAATAAAAAACACAATGTGATTTGAGGTTAATTAAAAGTTTACAAATGTCGTGTATTATTTGTATAGGAGGACGAGAATAATAAGTTTACGATGGTTTTCGAGATGGAAAATGGTACGCAGGAAGCTAAAATTTACCGACCCACGAGTGGCAACCTTACGAGTCCTTTGGGTCAATTAGCTCGTTACGTAGCTGCAACTGGGCAGATTCTTAACATTGGTGATGTTGCAACTTGGTCTAAGCGTCAAGTCTTTCAAGTGAGCAAACTTTACTCATAAAGCAATATACCTATATGCATATTTATGAACTTAAATAGGACGCGCATTACAGGACACGTAAATAAAATACATTTAAATGCTGAATTCATTAAACTACATATCACTCAATACTAATAGTTAATTGTTAAGTTATCGTTAGTGTAGTTAATAAGTTAAGTAAGCTAGGGATGTGCTAGAATTTTAAGATAATACATGAAAATCCTTTCTTTTCTTTTTTCATGTAATTGCAAAAAAACAGACTTAAATTATTTTTTATGTTAAAATGTTAAAACATATTTTCTTTGCGGTGAGCTTTAAAATTAAGTTCAAGTATCCACAGAGAATCCAGAAGTTTCGTATCGCGAGTAAAAGTAATTAAATTCTCATTAAAAAAAAAAAAAAAAAAAAAAAAAAGAAGGATCTTGTCAATGTTGATAATTTCAACTCAACGGTTTATTCGACATTATTATACACGCACTTGAACTATAATTATATCCCTCATTCGTATAATCTTGTATATTTGTCCTCGGAAACTCTAATTTAATGTGCCAGAGGTCAAAATCATTTTTATCTCATAGAATTAATACTTTAAGCATTGAGATTTATTGATAAAGTAAGTACGGGGATTAATGAATCCATAAGATTTATAAAATCCACTCATAATATGTACATACATACATAGTAGTGCATGTATGTGTGTATATCAATAAAATAATTATTAGATTCAATATTCATGAAAATATAGTGGAGACTCGACGATGTGTTGATGGCTAATGACATTGAGTGCAGGTGGGTACGGAGCCGACGCGTAGCATTCTGTGTATGCCGATTGTAAATGGACAGCGAACAGTCATCGGTGTCGCTCAGCTCATCAACAAGGACAATGGCTTCTCTTTTACAGACTCGGATGTCACAATTTTCGAAGCTTTCGCGATATTCTGTGGTCTCGGTATTCACAACACCCAGATGTACGAGTCGGCTTGTAAGCTCATGGCGAAGCAAAAGGTCGCGCTGGAGTGTCTCAGCTATCACGCCACGGCGAGCAATGAGGATGCCCTCAAGCTTATGTCCGATGATATTCTACCGGCTGAGACGTACAATCTCTATAGCTTTAGGTTCATTGATTTCGATCTGACCGATGAAGAAACCTGTAAAGCTACCGTAAGGATGTTCAAACAGTGCGATCTCATCAACAAGTTTCATATACCTTATGACGTTCTCTGCAGATGGATACTCAGTGTTAAGAAAAATTACAGGTGAATCGAGCTAGTCTATTCTATCATGCGCACTTGACTTTCCTCCGCCACCCACTACCTCGCAAATATCTTTATTTATTTCCAAATTAACGAAGAACTTCAGAAATTAAGAAAAAAAAATTTGTTTAATTCAGTATTTTTAAATCGAAGAGATAATACGTTAGGAGAAAATGTATTTCAATTAAGATTTATATTTATGAAAGAAGTTAGTATGATATGATTGACTTAAGATAAACTTTCGAAAGAAACAAAGTATTTTTCTCAATAAATTCTTTATATAGTGTCGCAAAAAAAAAAAAAATAATAAATAATAATAATTGCATTTAAACCTCATACTTCATACATATTTAGATAATTCTATTACAATATAAATAATAAAATTTCTATATTCAAATGACTTGAGAAATTTTCTCTCTCTAATTATCGAATTGACTTTCTTCTTTATATTGAAAATTGTTTAACTACCAATAGGCCGGTAAAGTACCATAACTGGAGACATGCACTGAATGTGGCACAAACAATGTTCGCGATGTTGAAAACTGGTAAAATGGAGCAGTTTATGACAGACATAGAGATTCTGGGGCTCCTTGTTGCTTGCCTTTGCCACGACCTCGATCATCGTGGCACCAATAATGCATTTCAAACAAAAACCGAATCGCCCCTCGCAATCCTTTATTCAACAAGTACAATGGAACATCATCACTTTGACCAGTGCGTCATGATCTTGAATTCCGATAGCAATAATATTTTTCAAACGCTTTCTATGGAACATTACAGAAGAGTGATGAGGGTTGTAGAGAATGCAATATTATCGACTGATCTTGCGGTCTACTTCAAGAAGAAAAATTGTTTTATGGAAATAATCGATGATGGCGAATTCGATTGGCAGAGCAAAGAGAAAAAGGAACGTAAGTATTAATATTCGTTTAATTATAACGTATCCTATTCGTATAATTTCCTTCGTTTTAATAATAATAATAACAATAACAATAACAATAACAACAACAACAATAACAATAACAACAACAACAACAATAATAATAATAATAATAATAATAATAATAATAAGTAAATTCTGCATACATTAGTAGGCCATTAGTAGATTATTAAAAACTTTTTATGACAATAATTTGCTTGCAATAAATTCTATCAGTACGAGCATTCTTCAATATAGAAAATTGTCCCTACAAATCTTTACCTTTGTCATTGTAATGAACGTATATTTTTAATAAAATAAAATGTAAACTACTTTTGTAAATAAATAATTTCAGCGAACTTTATACAGTTAATAAATACCTCAAAATCGCAGAGCCTAATGGATTTCGGATCGTCTGTAATAAATAAAAGAATAAAAGTCTGAATGAATTTTTTCTTTTAAATTACTTTATTCCATTGCGGTGAAAGTTCGCGTCCAAATTCAGCAAATGAGCAGTCCTCATTTGAAATTGTTTCTCGCCGTGTATTGTAGTGCTATGCGGCATGATGATGACAGCCTGCGATGTAAGCGCAATTGCCAAGCCTTGGGAGATCCAGCATCGTGTGGCTAAACTAGTAGCGGATGAGTTCTTCGATCAAGGTGACCTTGAACGGCTACAGTTGAACCAGCAACCCGTGGCAATGATGGATCGAGAGCGACGAGACGAGCTGCCGCAGATGCAAGTCGGTTTTATTGACGTCATTTGCTTACCTTTATACAAGGTAATGGCCGAAACATTCCCCTGGATCCAGCCACTGTACGACGGTACCATGGATAATCGAAAACACTGGCAGGATTTAGCCGAAAAAGTAGAGATGGGCCTCACGTGGATCGACAGGGACACTATCGAGGAGCCAGTCGAAGAGTTCGTATCAATGGAGCCGAAAGATATCGAATTCACGGTCACGACGCTTAATTGTACTCATACTGATAAAAAGGACACGGTGGGTTTTTCTTAAATTGTTCCATCATTTTTTCTTTCTTTCCTTTCTTTTTTTGGTTTTTTGTTTGTTTTTTTTTTATTTTTTTTTTTGTTTTGATCAACTCAATCATTTTATTAAAAGATTAAAAGATCTCTGATATTATTATTTCCATTTTGTTCAATCAAGTATTAAAACATTTGTTAATTTATTCGATCGATATTGTTGCAGTAATCGAACATTTTTAATAGGAAAAGGTGTAAAAACCTTATAGTATTTTATTTAATTGTAATCATCATATATAGGTTTATGTATTAATAATTGTTGAATATTATATGTCTTAACGTGCATTATATTTAATTATTCAATATGTTTATTGACAAAAGTTTATTACTTCGTTGTTTAATGATATCATTGAAACCAAATGATTACATATGTAACACATTTAAAACGTTATTTTACTATCTCGGAAATCTATTTCCGATTGCTATATATTTCCATTTTGTAAATACACAATTTTGGATATTATAACAATAATTTTAATAAATTATAATATCGTTCAATGAAACGATCATATTTTTAGAATAATGAGACAAACAAATGTGTTTATTTAATAGAATAGAACAACAACGTTCGAAATAAGTTTATGCTGTTTTCTCATACAATAAACAATGATCGATTATACGATAATACAATAAGTAAACAGTTTTGATAGGGATTTACTGATAATATAATAATAGATTTATTATACTGTTTGACGTAATATAAATAAAATAGTTAAATTATGAAACATATATTAAGATAAAAATGTAAATATGAATAAAAAATTTATTTGTATTTTTCGTAAATATGATGTGCATTCGTTTCATGCATTTGAAATAAAAAAAAAAAACAAAAAAAATGATAACATTCTACACGACATTTGCTTGTAATGCCACATTTAAAGGCCATAAAGTACTTTAATTATATATCTATATAAAATAAGTAATTGATGTGAAATATATTATTTCAATTCTGAGTGACATTGAATAGTTAAGATAGGGCTATACTTGGAAAGAAGGAGGAAAATAAAAGAAAGAAAGAATCGATTTGAAGCCCGTAATTTAAGTTTATTTCTTTTCTTTTCACGTTGACAGTTGGCACAGGAAAGGAGTAAATCCACCCTCGGTAGATTCGCTTCTCTCCGCAAGGGCGGGCGTAACATCAGCAAAGGTGTGCGCAGTCGATTAAGTAGATCTCTATACTCGAGGAGCAATTCTGAAGGTACGTCGATCAACGTCCAGGGCAGTGGTATCGGTCAAGATAGTCAGGCGAGTCAAGGAGCGGCAGCAAAACCTACTAAAGTTCTTATACCTGAACGGAAGAATAGAAACAAATTGTGTCTGCTCATATGACGATTGACTTCAACGACGCTAGAGAGTATTCCCGAATGAATAAGGCAATGGCAGTTGCGCAAATACCGACAATTAATTTTTATTCTATCTTTGTACAACAGTAACAGCTCCATTTGTCATAGAATCGTGAGCAAACCAAGTTAATCAAAATCATGTGTGATTTATGAGTGTATACAATGATACGTGTGCGATGTAGGGTAAGACTTTATCGATTCTCACTTCTAAGTCCTCGAGATGGAATAAATTTTCCCGTTAATTAATACGAAAATGAACTCAAGACAAAAAACAAACATTTTGCTTTAAAATTTTTTTCAAAATAATTTGACATCAGCAGATAACAAAGTTCGACTGAGAGAATTACAAAATCCATTTCTAATTATACGTTGATATTCAACAATAATTGATATATTACTAAAAAGAATTGTTTTAATAGATGCAATTTTAATTTAGATATTTTCCATTATTTTGGATGAAGCCTATAATTTATAAAAGTCTGATATAAAAAGATTTTATATTTTTTTAATATGTTTATTTACAATATTATACACCTAATGTATAATGCTTATATAAATTTTTATGTTAGCAATAAGAAAATTCATTATGTAATGAAGAATAAAAACATTTGAAACTAATATAGAAAACGTTATACAATGAATAAAAAATAATTACTTTTAAATATCTCATCTCTATTGGAAATTCAGTTTTTGAAATGTCAAATAATTTAAAAGCTGGAAGAAATAAATAAAAGTCAATTTTACGAAAAATAATTCTAACACATATACATGTAAAATAAAATATTTGAAGTCATAGATATTTAATCTTTTATGCATTAGTTTATTAACTATAAAAGCTTAAAAAACAGGGTCAAAACAGGGTTGTGTGACGCTCTACTATTTTGTATAAATTGTTAAATATTTTATTTTATTCTGATAAAATATGCCGAATGTGCTTCTGTTAAAAATTATTAATTTCTAATTTTACTTATTCCACAATTAAGATATTGTACATATTTTAGAGCATACATTTCAATTTTATTTAAAAATAATAAATTCTTTGAAGCATATTTTATTCGATTGTCTTACATCTTAGAATACCTACAGATAATAGAAAGATAATTAAAATATATTATAAATTTGTCAGTGCTTTAATTAGACCCACATTTAATTTTTCTGGGGAAGAAATTCAAATTATTATACTTTGATAAACATAAGCAAAAGTAATTATTATTTATTACATTAACAATGAATCAAATTTTCTCTATATTTCTATATAGAATTGGTCATTGATCGTTTATTTAAATAGCATTTCTTTATTCATCAAACATTGTTAAACGATTAATTTCATAAAAATTTTAAGTTATTTTTCAAAAAATTTAAAACAACTTTATAAAATATTAAATGAAGTAATTTTGTATTGAAAATAATATTTTAAGCATAAAAGATATATTAATTGGTATAAATATTTTTAAAATTGTGGTATTTTATTATATCATATTTTTTATTACAAAAATATCAAAAATTGAATTCTTTATTTTTTAATGTTTATTAAAATAAAATTTATGTTAAAAAATAAATGAATATCACATGTTATTTTCAAACATTTTTAATTAAAAAATTTAAATAATTTGCTTAAAACTGATTAATTTTTTGCCTTTGAAACATTAAACATTGTGTACCTCTTGATTAATTTTATTATTATTATTATTAGTCTATTTTTCTTCATTTATATCTGATCTTTAAGATATTTTAATTATTAAAATATTATACGTTTATAAGAATAAATTCTTGTTTATCTTTAGAAATGAAATGAAAAAATATATTATTGGCATTTTTGTAATAAATTTAATATAAAAATTCTATAAATTTTAAACTAATTTATGGAAATGTATTAAATGAATTGTTTTTTATTTGAAAAAAAAATTTATGAAATATCTAGTATTATTCATTTGTCATTATTTCATAATTGATTTATTATTTTTCATTTTAGTAATGTAAATATAACTTATTTATCTATTATATACTATTATAACTTATTTATATTTGTTAGACAGTGCTACTAAACATTCGTAATATTTTAGCTAATTCAATCACAAAAAATGTGTTATTTATTTATTTATTTATTTTTTTTTAATACATATTGAAATCAATAAGAATAGTCAAAAAAGAAATTCTAAATCTTGAATTTTATGAAAAATAGACTAAATATGATAATAAGCTATCATAGGTTTCATAAAATTAGAATAAGTGTAGTATGCTAATAAATTTAGCTCTCTTTCACGATATTAAATTATGTATCTAGGTGATTTCAAAGAGGACAAAAGTAGTAAATATTATATGCCAATTATATTTGTAAACAAAATAAAAAAAAAATTAAAGGAAAATTTGATTTCCAATGAGACAGAACCTTGAATGTAAAATGAAAACGTTTGTAATTATTACAAAATAAAATAAGAGAAAAAAATAGAAATCGAAATTTTACTAAATTGTTTAGTAGCAGTTTGTTAAATTTTATTTATTGTTAAGAATGAAAGGTCATAAATTAAAATATATTCTAATTGCAGAATGATTTCATTGAAAATTATTTTTTTGAATAATGTATAGACTGTGAATCAAAAGTAAGCAAAAAGCATAAGTATATGATATAAGATGTATAAATACTTAAATAGAATACTGTTTCTCGATTTTCTAAGTTTTCCAGAAACTCCAATATATATATATATATATATATAAACGCTTAATGAAAGGTAGGAAGCGAATAAGTATGACTATTATCATGAATGGTGCCATACCATTACAAATAAAAACGCTGTTGTAATAAAAGATGGTTACGATATACTTGTTTGAAGTTAGAGAAAGATAAAAATGAATAAAATGAATGGAATACAATGAATCAAAGCAAATAAAGTTTGAATTTCGACAATCTTTTTGTATTATTTTAATGTTGTAGAATTTTAAGAAAATAACGAGTATGCATATAAAACAGGTCGGCGGACCAATTAAAAAAATAGGCGAAATGGATTATAAAAAGCTCGTAAATTATGAAAATTATTAATAGATGAAATGTAAGGGATAAAATGCATGAGCTACTTGTCCATTTCTTCCTGTTTAACACAATTTAAAGCAAAATTATATTCTGCTTGGTCAATTAAATAAAACTGCGTGTATTGAAAAAAAAATAGATATTGTAATACTTAAGCACCTATATACTTGCGAGCGAATATAAATACGAAAGATTAAGTATTTGATTATTGAAATGTCAGTATCTACTTTTTTTTTAGATCTTATAAAATAAGAAATGAAAACATTCATTCAATTATAGCTCTACCTGATTCAAATATTTTCTTTTTTTCAATGTTAAAATACACAATTATTCCAAGTAAAAATATTTGTGATGAGAACTTAATAAAATTTTAATGTTAACAAAATACAATTATTCTTATTCTACTATTATTATTTTTAATTCTATTCGTAAAGCTAAATAAAAAGCACTTCATATTACACTACTATAAGAAATTATGTAAAACATAAATAAAATAATAAAATCAAGAAATATATTTTCTAATGTTTTATATATATTTGTAATGTTTGTACTATGTTTGCAAAATACAGCTAATTTTTTTTAAAGAAAGTAAGGAAATAATTATCAGTCTGTATTTTGTCTACGATAATTTTATTATAAAAAACAAGAAAATTGGAAAAGAAACAAATTATTAGTTCGAATGAATAATTTAATTTTAGTGAATGGATATATAAAATTTAATTTATAATAGCAAATTCATTATAATTGAATAACAATGAATATAATAATAAAAATGAAATTTAATTTATAATAGCGAGTGGTTGAATTTTGGTTGAAAAAATTAAAAAGAATTTTAATTATAAAATTCAAAATATTGTTAAATATTTAACTTTTCTTATAATTACAAATAATTTTAACGATAAGATTATAAGATTATTTTATATTTTATTAAATATAATCTTAAATATTTTAAAAATAATATCTTAAAGCTTATGAAGAAATTTATTAAAATAAATAGCCAGTAAAATGTATCAAGTTTTCAATTTTGGTTAACAATATGTTCTTTTTTAAAACCATTGATTTATTAATTATAACATAAAATAAGTAGTATGCAATACTTTCTTGTTCATGCGAAAATGTTTGTAAGAGTAATATAAAAGAAAATTAAGAACAGTATAAAAATTATTTTAATTATAATAAGAAGAAGAATGTATGAATATACTTAATTTAATTGGTTTTACTATCTTTTTTGAGATTTTTTTTTGGTTGTGTGAATGAAATTTGTCTGAAATATGTTTTTTTTTTTTAATAATTACTATATGTAAACTTAAAACTTAAGGCTCAAAGGCCGTTCTATTTGTTACAAACTATACAAAATAAATGTTATAAATTATATTTAATAATTTTGCTTCATATACTATTAATTTGTTCATAGATGTTCACTCTTCTTATATAGTCTAAATTGTTGACTGATCAATGAATATTGCAAAAAATCTTAAAAAATATTGTAAAAAGATGAATTTCACAAGTAATTTGCATGAATTCAAAACACTATAATATACTATATACAATATTTTAATTATTGTATTAACAAAAATTGAGAGCGACGGAAGATTGAATTCGGAAGTATAATATAATTAAGCTTCTGATATGCGAATTCAATTATTAATATAAATACTATACATATATTAAAATAGAGATATTAAATAATAGTCTTATACAAAAATAAGATAAAATTCAGTGTCATGCTATGCACTGGAATAAGTTTTTATAATTCTTAAAATAACATACTAATATAATTTTTTTAAATACACTGTTTCTTATAAATGCATTAAAATATTCATTTTTTTCTTTTTTACAATTTTATAGAAAAATGAAAATTATAAAATATTGTACCGTAGTACATTCATGTTATGGTAAGATAAGATAATAATAGAAGCATGATTCCTTGTTTTGACTTTTCCAAACGTTTCACCGTTAAGAAAATTCCCGTAAAGTAGTATGTATATATTCTATAATAATGAAAAATTCATGAATATCCATAATTATATTTAGTTGCCTAGTGATCACTAACACGGGGTTTTGACGAAATTTCACAATGACCCGTCGCCCATATATGATGGCCACAATAATTCAAATTAAAAAGTTTTTGATTGTTACAATTTCTGCAATATTATATCTGTTGAGTTATTGAAAGATTTATCGAAATAAATCTATTTAAAAAGTTTTTATACAGAAATAATTGTATTTTTCATAAAATAAATCGTATGAAAAGTACTGAATAATGACGAAAGAATTTAGATGAATGTAATGTTAACTCTAACAAAGTTTGTTCTGTTTTTTGTTTATCAATGATTTATATTTAATTTTTAACAAAGCATTAATATGTAAATAATTATGAAACGTTATTAAAACTAGAAAAGAAAAAATTATATAAAAACATTAAAGTAAACTAAAATTTTTAACAGTTTTTGAAAATTTTTGAAAATATTTACACTTTAAAATAACGGATACAATATTTTACAATATATATATATATATATATATATATATATATATATATATAATATTGTTAAAGAAATTATTTTGTTATACAAATTTATTCATTAAAAATAAGCAACAATAAAATATGCAGAAATACTTAATAAAAATTAACAAATCATATAAATTATTAAAATTACTATTTAATAGCACTAAAGATAATTTTGATATAATTTACTTTTAAAGTAAAAAAATGTATTAATATTCTCTTTTGGTTCTTTTAGTTTTCTTATTATATATTAAATGTTTCTATATATTAAATACTCAGGTACCTTTAATATTTAAATAAAATGGCCACCATTTATAATGAAAAATGAACGATAACATAATTAACAGGATCAATTTCTTTCAGTTCTCTAATGCACATTATTAAACTTCGAAACTTCACATAAATATCAAATATTTTGGATCACAATGCGTGTGATAATTTATAAAGGGAAGACACCACACATTTGTAAATGTAAATGTATGGATTTTTCTTTACGTTTTAAACAATAGCAGATGCACAAAGGTCACATGAAGATCTCAGTAGATCGGCTAACATGCAGTCACGATGCTGGCCTATCAAGCACCGATATTTCTATTAATCTTAAACCACGCGTTGTTGGGTCAGTCAGTAATAAACCACGTGGCCTGTAAACTCTATCGTTCTGTTCACTCACGAATTTGGCAATTTTACGTAAGCATTTCTCATAATGTGTCTCTGTACAAATGTATATGAGATAACCAGTAAGACATGCTAAGCAACCTTCGCAGTATGTTGAACAACTAGCTCGTTCAGCTTCGGCAAAATAATTATTAAGTTGATTGATTGTATATTCAAAAGATTGTCTGTCCAACTAAAAATAATATATCGATTCAATTTACAAGGCTTAATAAATATTATGTTTTATAGCTTACAATAATTGATACCATTAATGGAATATTATTTTAATAATCCATGTATATGCCTGTGTATGAGCTTATAAGTGTGTATAATTACGGTTATAATATAAATAATATAACTTAGCAATAAATTTTATGTGGAGTAAGTGTAATTTTTTATTAGAAAAAAAAAATGTCTTTGATTTGCAATTGTTTTGTTTGACGGTATATTTAATTAATATTATTATATTTTGATGATACAATGACTACTTACTCTATCACCAAGTTCTGAAGGAAATCTCGTTTGAAATTTAACCATAGTTCCTTCGCTATAATCCCTTTGAATATAAACTTTTAAACAATTTTGAGGAGGCCCTCCACCACCTTGCCCTCGACCAGCTGACATATCTTCCAAAGGGGTATGATTGCTCTATATTAAAATTTAAGATTTACATAGTTAATTTATTACATTATTACATATATAAAAGTTAGATAAAGAAATTATAAATCTACTTGATAATACAGTTCTAATTGTTATTCGTAACAATACTTTTATTAGTCAAATACCATTACCATCCCATAAGCTTGATAGTTTCATTCTTAGTTTATTTGAGAATAAAAATATTGGAAGCGATTAGTAATTTAATTTACATTCTTTTACAATTTTTTAATCACCAGACTAATAAATTCTTGTATAAATTTGAAATTAATATGAAACACAATGTTAGATAAAGTATATGTGTGAAAAGAAATTTAAAAAAAATGAAAAACAAATAGGATAACTTACCATCGGCATCTTGAGCTTCGTTGTACAAGTGGATGATGAACAATTAAATAAAAATCTTTGCAATGGATTATAGATATTTTTACCGTTCAGCGATTGAGTAGCTTATTAATTTTAGAAAGAGGTGCTGTTTTAAAATACAATACCAGCTGCTAACACGTAATTAAATGGATATTTCGTGCACGCAAAATACAAAAAATTACTTGGGTGATGTATGCTTGTAAGTTTACAACTTTGCATAGGATTTGCAGTAAGCAGAAACCTATTGCCAATAACGGAATTGCTTTGTAACTAACGTTATCACTTCACAATCTTCTCAAAATTAGATGTCATGAATAAGACGATTGTGAAATTGTAGCAGTACATCATTAAACAATGTTCACCCAGATTAATAATATAATGCTGTTAAAGGGCATCGAAATATCTTTACGAATTAAATGAATTAAAATATATTTAATGTTTCTTATCATTTAATAATCGACTCTGTAGTCTATAAAATTTGTCCATAAAAAACAACCAATCAAATATTACTCTAATCCTTTAAATAACATGTCATTGAAAGCGGGAAATTCAAATAAATATGCACAAATATGTTAATCAAGAGGCGAATATCCTGATCATTTTGTTCTTGTACGATGAGCCAAGTGACAGGTAGACAGGCCTTAATTGAATATTTTTCATAATAAAAAGAAATACATACTATATGATACACACTTGTATCACATTTTTAGCTTTATTAATAATTTTATTAAATACCTTCTATTAGCTACTCCATCCGCTAAAGTTTAAACAATATAAACAAAATATGTCGACTTTTTACCTTCAATCAATTATTCAATCCATTATTATTTATCTTTTTTAATGCAGTATTTTTATTGTTTTCATGTAGTTCTCAAATATTAAAAATTATTTTGGCATGGATAACATTATACATTTGCAAAATATTGCTAATGCATTCTCGTGTATTGGCAATCCTTATGGATATGCAATGGATAATTCACTCCGAATTTTATACCAACGTCAGAAGTGGGACAAATAAATGCATAAATCATTGAGCCCAACACGATTTTGCCAAAGTTTTTGACAGCATTCGGTTTGACTTGCATCATAATGAAATTTGGTGTATACGTATGAGTCACAATATTTATTTTGAAGCTAAAGGTTGTTTGTATACAATGTATATAAATGAATAATTAATAATTGTTGTATATGCTTATAAATAATATCTATCTGCCTTTAAGAATTTTCTTAAATTTCTTAATTTTCTTAATATATGAATTGTTAAAAACTAAATCCCATAAAAATTTTTGTCAATTCCAAAGAGCACTTCAATAAATTATTGTACCTGATTGAATTGTCGAATAAACGTGTCTTTAATCAGATTAGAGAAGCGTTATTCAAATATAAGATTTCAATACAATTATTTATATCATTTTGAAGTAAGGAAAATTAATGAATTGATGATAGCTCGAATAGATAAGCAAAGGTATTATCATATAAATAGTTTAGAATATACATTTAACGGCTGATATAATTAATCAATGTGTTTCAAGCCTACACCTCTAAAAACCAGAGTAGTCTTTTAATTATTATTATTTCATTATTTCTGTGAAAACACCATGGAATATTTGAATAGCATGTGAACCAATGGTACTTACTTAAACAAAGGCATAAGAAACGGAAGTAGATCTCTTATCTACCCATAAGACGTAACATTTCTTGACTCTTTATTTTCATTGATACTGAGATAGACAATTCATAGAGTAATATTAATTTTCTGTTAAATTATTTAAACATCCCAAAAATCATAATCACTCTTTTTTTTCTATTTGTATTTCAATATTTCATTTTTATCAGATCTTGAATTTTAGTTTATTATTTAACTGCAGGATCAGAATTGCGACGCATGCGTATAGAGCATATCTAGACGATATTCATAAAAATATTATTTAAATAAAATAATGTTATACACGTGCATGCTTACTGTCAATTTTATGCATTGCAAGTATTTCGTATATGTAAATCGCCTTTATAATGTCATATTTTAAAATGTATGTAAAATATTCGTCTAAAAAATGGAATAATTGTGAACATTTGTTGGGTGTATGAAATGTTGGAATGTTTAAAATTAGTAAACACGAGATACTAAGAATTTAAGAAGTGTTGGACGTTAATTAAGATTTCATTTAAACTTGTTGAAATTGTCGAATGTGAATTTGAGACAAGCTTAATTTAAAATTTGGTATTACTTTTGAAAAAATCGTCTTGTTTGAAATTCCAGAACCATTTAAAGGCGATTAAAAATGTCAAGTGTAAGGGATATAGAGATTCGAGGGATTAGAAATTTTGGTGACGAAAGTTCAAAAGCCAGAATTCATCTTTCGAAACCTCTTACGTTAATTCTTGGGGCCAATGGTACCGGCAAAACAACGATTATCGAAGCTCTTAAATTTATCACATCGGGAGAATATCCGCCTGATTCTGACAGAGGAAAATCTTTTGTTCATGAGCCAAAACTTACTTTAAATCATACGGTATTTGTGCTACTTGAATTTTTATACAATGCATTACTTTAATTTTACGTAATTTTGATAAAAAGTAATTTTTACTTTATGCCATACAAATTCATTTTTACATAGGTTCCATTCTATATACTAAATATTAATAACTATATTCTTTAAATGCAGTAAATGCAACTTTAATGGTAATTTTATTAATGTATTCAAATGATATATAATTAATATTATTGGTATAAGATGTAATTTTAATTTACTTATTATCTGTATTCCTGTATAAATTCTTTTTGTAATAATAAAAATATACCAGATTGTAGAGATGAAATAATAAAGCAAAATTATAATCAACGAATCTATAATTTATTACGATTATTTAAAAGTAGATTAATGTGTTAAATCAATTTATTTATGTTGTCTTATTTAATTAATGCTTGTCTAGGTCCGTGGTCAAGTAAAAGCCAAAATAGTAGATAAGAATGGTGATAAGCTTATAGTTACAAGAACCATGCAAGTTTCGCGCCAAAAAACTGGTGCTCTGAAGTTCCAAGCCCTAGACAATACCATAACAAGAATTGATGAACAGACCAAGAAAGTAAGAAAAATATTTGTATTCTAATTATGTAGAACGAGAATAATTAACTAATTTGATAGTTTTTTTCAGAAAGTTCAGATAAGTAGTCGATGTACCGATGTCGATCGTGAAATATTAATTGCGATGGGTGTATCTAAGCCAATATTAAATTATGTCATCTTTTGTCATCAAGAAGAATCAAATTGGCCATTAGAAGATGGGAAAAAGTTAAAAGATAAATTTGATGAAATATTTGATACATCAAAGTATAATAAAGCAATGGATACTACTACAAAACTTATTAAAGATTTGCAGATAGAATTAAATGAAATTAAAGCATATGAAGTAGGGTTGAAAGCCATGGTAGATGAAGTACATGCCCAGGAAGATAAATTGAAAGATTGCGAAAGAAGAGAAGAGGAAATAAATAATAGAATAAAGGAAATTGAGAAACTCATCATGTCTGTTGACGATAGAATTAAAGATCTTGTTGTAATATACAATAAACATGAGGATATTGAGCAATCATTAAGTAATATTAAATAATAATCAATTTGTAATTCTAGTAAATATTTATTTAATATATTAAAGTTAGATGTTTTAATTTTTAGAAATAGTTGAAACTGATTATAAATTAACGAAGAATTATATTCAAAGCTTAAAGAAACACATTAAAAATATATATACAGGTTCTAAAGAAGAATTAATCCACAAAATAGAAACATTTGATTTGAATCTTTCTCAAAAAGTTGTAAAAAAGCAAGAGGTATTTGATTATTAAATTAAATTATTTTAAATTAAATTATGTAAATTATTTTTATTCAATTTTTTTAGTATACAGATAATTTGCACATTACTGAAAAGAATGAAAATATTTTGTCAAAAAAACTTGCAAATGATAGAATTCGATTAGGTTCTTTAAAGCAGAAAAAGATTGCATTTGATGAAAAAGTTATAAAACGTAATGAATTATTATCTAAATCTTTAAGAATGTGGAACGTATCAGAATCTGGTTCTACCATTACAGAAGAAGGCAATGTTTAAATTCTACACATTAGTAATGAATAATTAATTTGAATAAATTAAAATAACTTGGTTGACTTTTGCATTTTAATAATTACAGAAGTAAAAGATTATATAAATGAAATTAAAAAGAAGTTTGAAGAATTCAGGTCATCTATGAACAATAAAATAGAAGAAAATGAACAGGAGGAAAGACATGTACAAAGAGAAGTAGATGCTCATAGAATTGAGAAGACAGCTATAGAATCTGAAATGTCTTTAAAAGAGAAAGGAAAAAACGAGATTAAATTAGAAATTGGTGAATTAAAAAGAAAAATTAAGGAGGTACCGCTTCGTGCAATATAAATTATTTTTTAATAATATTTTATATACAAATTTTATTGCTTACAGTACATATGTATATATATTGATAAAATGTTAATTTTAAGGCAGGAGAAGCTGGTGATAAATTAAATAGCATCGAGCTGAATTTAAAAAATGCTAGTAGGAATTACGAATCACTTCTAGAAGATTTCGATGAGGATTTAATAAAAAAGAATTTACAACTCGAAAATATAAAGAAAAAAGAATTACATATTAAATTAAATCTTGTTGAACAAGAAATAAATTCTTTACATCAACAGAGTTCTCAGCAAGCAGAGCTAGAATTATATCAAAATAATTTACGTGATAAAGAAAAAAGTATATTGGCTTTGCAGAATAAACATAAAACCAATCTTAATCTTCTTTTTGATGGTAAACAAATACCAAACAAAAAATTAAAAGAACATCTAGAAAAAATTCAAAAATTATTGGTACTTAACTGTTTTCGTAATTAATTTAAATATTAGTTTTATGCTTAAAATGTAAATTTGTTGTTATAAAATTTTTTAGTTTAATGAGAAGGATAATTTAGTGCATAAAATTGAGGAAGAGCAGCAACAAATAATTACATATGAAACGACTTTAAAATGTAATCAAGAACAATTATCAAAAATGATATCTGAGCTTGATGGTATATAATTTGAAACCTACATAATCGTCTAATTACTATGTTTATCTATTTTTATTTTTTGTCCTTGATTTTGTAGCTTATAAGGAAAAGATTTTTTCCAAATGTCAAAATAATGACTACAATGAATCTTTATTACTCCAAGAAAAGAAGCTAAAGTCGCTTCAAGATCAAAGAGGCATATACACAAATCAATCTTTACTTTATGACACATATTTGAAATTACTTAAAAAGAAATCGTGTTGTCCATTATGTGATAGAGAATTTAAAAATAATTCAGAAGAAAAAAAATTAGAGCAAAAACTCTATTTAGAAATTAAAAAAAATCCTCAATGTTTGAAAGATTGTGAAAAAGAATTAAAAGAGGAACAAACTCGTTATGATGTTTTGCAACAATTAAAGCCAATAACAGAGAATATAATAGAACTTGAAAATGAAAAATTACCTCATATTAGGTATGAGATCATTTTTTATCATAACTTTCAAATTCGATTCTTTATTTCCATATTCTACTAACTCCATAGTTGAGATGTATATTTTAAAATATTGATAGTTGGTTGATTTTTTTGTATATCATATTAAGTAAGTTGTAAATAGTTGTAAGTTATAAATTTTTCAACTTTCATTTTCATTTGAATTTTGAAGAAAGTCTATGGAAGAAATTAAAATAAATCTTGGTAAATGTGAACAAAAAGTTGAAAATATGAATTTGATACTTTCTGAACCGGATGAAAAATTGCATATATCTAAACAAATAATGAGCGATGTGGTATTATTAGATAATTATATTAATGAAAAAGAGAAATTAACACAATTAATAGAAGCTAAAAAAAGTGAAATGCTTAAAGCAGGTAAGAGTATTAATTTTTAATTTGAAGATTTTTCTATTATTTAATTTTTTATTTCGAAAATGAATTACTGTAAGGTAAAATTGGAGATAGATGTATGGAAGATGTACAGATGGAGCGTCAGGAAATTAAAAAGAATCTTTCCACTACCGAACAAAATATTGATAGTATTCAGTCAAATTTACAATTATCTCAAGAAAAAATACAAAAAGCACGAGAACAAAAAAATAAACTTAACGAGGAACTTTTACAAAGTCGTCAGTGTATGCAAAGCTTAAAACAGTTGAAAGATAAAGTTAAGGATTTGTATGAAAAAGAAAATTTTCTCGAGGAATCTTTAAAGTCCTTAAGACAAAAGCTTGTTGGTGCGGAAGAAAAATTATCTATAAATGTTGAAGAATTAAATAATCTTAAGGTATGTAATTTAAAATTGTACGTTCAATTTATTGTAATTTTTATAAAATAAAATATATTAGAAATTTATATGTTCAGCAAAAAAATCGAAATGAGCAGGATAAAGCTTTAAATTTTAAGTCACAAAGTACAACAGAAATGCATGAATTAAATACAGTTCAGAAAGAAGTACACACATTTATAATCGGCAAAATTGAAGAAAGTTTATTAAAAGTAGAATTAGATGTAGAAGAAACAAAAAAGGAATATGAAGATATGAAAGTTAAAAGATTAGAATTAGAAGAGCATATTCGATTTTTAGATGATCAGTGCAGATCTCAAGAAACAGGTAAAAAGGAACTTGAAAGTAATTTGGAATTAATTTCAAAAGAAGAAGATATTGTAGCTCTAAATGATCAACTTATAAGTTATAGAACATTATTAAAAGATATGAAGTTTGACGAAGTTAAAAAAGAATATAAAAAATTGCAAGAACAAAAAGAAAATTTTGAAAAAGAAGTACACATTGAAAAATATTGTTTTTAAATTGTAAATATGACTTATGAATTTTGTTTAATTTATATTAATTTCACTTTTCAGAAAAGTTCAATCAAGGGAGCTCAAGGTGAATTGAGCAATTCCATTCAATCGATAAAAACGAATTTAAATCAAGAAAAATACAGAATGGCTCGTCATAATTATAAGGAAAAACAGTTACAATTAGTTGTAATATTATTGAATATATTTGAAAATATGATTTATTCAACTCAGCTCGTGTATTAAAATTTACTGAAAATATTTCTTAGGTACAAGAAGAAGCCATTGCCAATTTAAAAATATACGTCACAGTATTAGACAAAGCTATGATACAGTTCCACGAGGAAAGAATGAATACTGTAAATAAGATAATGGGCCAATTATGGAATTTAGTATATAGTGGAAATGATACTTCCTCCATTCAAATACGTGTACAGACTACAGAAGGTATTGGTGATAAAAAACGATCATATAACTACAAACTCGTTCAAGTAAAACGATCGACTGAAATGGATATGAAGGGGAAATGCAGCGCTGGACAAAAGGTAGTAATGAATAATCATATAATATGAAACTTTAACGTTATACAATTATAAAATATGATTTTAATAGGTTTTAGCTTCTATTATTATTAGAATGGCTTTGGCTGAAACATTCTGTACAGATTGTGCTGTACTTGCATTGGATGAGCCAACGACAAATCTAGATGAAGAAAATTCAACAAATTTAGCAGTAACACTTTCAAAGTAAATAAGAATGTTTTCAAAATTATAAATATTATATAATTATGTATGTAATTTAATAGTTTTTCTTCAATTTTAGAGTAATACAATTACGTTCACAACATCATAAAAATTTCCAATTTATTGTTATAAGTCACGATGAAAAATTTATCTCGCATCTGTCTAATTTAAGTGGAAAGCAAATGTTTCAAGAGCTCTATAGAAATATTGAGTAAATAATTATAATTTTTATAACATCATCTTTATCATAATAGATATTTATTTTATGTTAAATATATGAAAAATTTATTAAAATTTATTATTTTTCAATAAGCAATTTATTATTAAATTTATATTTTATTATAGTGGATATAGTTTAATTAGACGAAGAAACATGGATGATTTTATAAAAAATAATTCACAGACTGATAATTATAATAAATTAGAAGATGACTCGGACGACGAAGACGAAGATCTAGACGAAGAGCAATGTAGTAGTAATCGAAAACGAAATTATAGTCTAGAAGATCTTGTATCCAAAGATCTAAAAAAATCATCAAAAAAAAAATTACATTAAAAATATAGACAATATTATATTTATATAATTTTTTAAAGAAACAACAAATGTAAGCATTCATGCATTAATTTAAATGACAATTTTGATCAAAAGTGTAGGACTTATTTTTTCAAATATTTTCAATAATCAATTAAATTCTCTTCAGTTTTATAAGTGTCACGGATAACGGTAACCCAGTTGAGTGTATGTGGCGAAGTAAAATATGATATTCAACACAGTAAATAAGTGAACAAAATATAAAAGTAATTATTAAGCGAAGATCCGTTTTTGTAGATAATCAATGTGAAGTTAGATTCTTAGAATAACTACAAAATGATATAAAATATTTGAAGACTCAGAGTCTTTGATTCAAAAAAATACGCAGAAGGACCATATGCGATGTTATGCATTGTTATCATATATATAATCTGAAATTAACCATTTAGTTTCATAGTTTAGTTTCATAGTTTAGTTTCATGTGTATGCATGCATATCGATAATATATTTGTTGGAATGAGAGTGCATTTAAATATTAATAGTAACTATTATAATGTATAGAACTATTGTGCTCCGATTCTCTATACAATAACTACATTATTTTTGTATTTTTATAGTTCATGAAAAGATAAAATTTTAAAAATCCTAAATATAGTTTAAACACTTAATTTTTTATAATGTAATATAAATTAAATTTGCTTTTATTTATTCTGAAATTACAAAATAGATATTATAATCATATAATGATATATTTATTTTTATATTTATTTTTTTATACATAAATTATTAAAAAATTATTGCAATTATCGTAATATTGTAAATCTAATTTTTTATATTAATAAATAAAAGCCTTAGTGATATAAAAATGTTGTTTTCATTTATTTCCTTCTTACCAAGTCTATGTACGTAGTGTTTTATTAAAATATTATTTTATTTTTCTTATCAAAATCAATAGAAATAAGCATCAATATTATTCAAGATATTATTCTTTAATTTCAGTAATAATATCAAAGATTATTTGGATTTTTTTATGTATCGATTTCCTTGATTTAAACTATTTATTTGTATGACAAAACTTTATTTTCTGGTTTATTAAATAATAAAATGAAATTTTATCAATCTTCATTAACAAAGTTTCAAATATTATTGAAAACATTATATTGCTATATATCATTTTTAGATCGACATAGAAATATAATTGATCATAATAATAATATAACATAATCACAAATAATACAATAATGTACAATAAATTACATAATATAATAATATAATACAATAATATATTTTATATTATTATAATAAATAGCATAATATGATAGTTGAAAGATAATTTTCTGATTTGTAAATATTCATTATTAGAGGGAGATTTAGAAAATCAATAAGTGTAAAAAATTTTTATTATTTGATGTAAATTATCAGAAATAATATAATGTCGGATTAATGAACAAATCTTAGATTTTATTTTCTTAATTTTTGAATTTTATTATAAGTATTTAAATTATTAGTAGTAACGATCCTATAAAATAGTATTGATAAAAGATTATATAATTTTATGTTTTGAAAATGATTTTTAATGCCTGTTCCTTTTTCATCATTTAACCTTATGTGACGCTTATATTTAAAAGAAATCCAATTTTATTATTTATCTTAGAGTAATATGGAATTTATAATATTATTTTCTTAATAATTAAATAATACATAGTGAGTTCCATTTTATATTTGATGTACTTTTAAATAACGTATTTAAGCTATATTTTAAATATAATTGATGAGATGGAAAGTAATTATATAATTAAGTGTCTTAATTTAAAAAATGAAATATAGTTAAATGAACGAAATCATACAATATTATGATGATTAATATTATTTTTTAATAAAGTTTGGAATGAAAATATCTTTACAGGACTTGAGACTTTTGTTGAATAACAGATAGTTTAATAGTAATTAGATTTTTTTGTTACTATACTTTTATATCTTTGTAAACTTGAAAATATGTTTCTAAACAAATAGATAAATTTTTTTAAGTTCAAATATCAGTTTATGTAACCATTATATTTTTACTAATAAATAGAACTATAAATAAAATAAATTTCTATTTTTATCCTTTATATTACTAAATTTAAGTATTTAAGTACTTATAAATATAATATATATATATATATATATATATGTAGTACAAATATGAATATATAATATATGTTTTAGAAAATATTAATGAAGTAAACTAAAAAATCTTTTTTAAAAAATGACTTTGTAATAACTATACTATATTTTTATGATTCAATGCTTAATAAATTTTACGATCGATAGTTAATGATTATTTTACAAACCTAAATATTGAGAAAAATTGTCCTATTATTTGTAAATGATACTATGATTTATGAAAACTTTTTACTATAGAAATATACTATACTATCTATACTCCGTTAAAAATTGTAATTTATATAAATAGCATAAAATTATTTAATCTTAATTACGAATGCTCACGGTTTCTTAAATTAAATCTTAAATTATATTGACAAATGTTTATGAAGATTTGAATGTAATTAAGAATTAAATATTTTTAGAGACTGAAGAAAATAGTAATGATATTATTAGATAAAAATTAAAAGCATGTATAGATAGCATAAATAATAATAACTTAAAAGAAATTAATCAATAATATTTATTCACTGTTTTCGTAATTGCGTAATGATTATGTAATTAAATAACCATTTATACCAATATGGTGCTATACTAGTTACATCTATGGTTATCGATAAAATACTATAATATATCATTTTATATATTTATAAACTGGATTATAAACCATGAAATTCCTGCGTTGCTAAACAAACTTTTTAGTACATAACGTAATCTGTAATTACTATATAAAAATTACTAATTTTATTATTGTTTTTTCTCCAAATAACTGTTTTATTAATATTTAAAATTCTAAATATTTTAATACAAAATGTTATTTCAATCTATTTGTTTTTTACGCCCTTTAAGAATAATTTGTTTAAACAATAAGAAAAAAATATTTTTAAATTAATTGCAATACATTTGTTTATACTATTTTATATTTTTTATTCAGTTGATAAAAGAGTTAGTTATAAAATATGAGCTTCATCAATCAATTTACTTATATGTAAAGGAAACATTATATGTCAATATTTGGGTTCATTTCTCAATAAGCTATTGTCATGACATAACTATTTTTCAAAATATAAAATATTGTTTCTTATATTAATTCTCTAACATCAATCTAAGTATGCATAAAATTAAAAAATTATAAAATATGTATGTTTCAAAACTGGAAATAAATGATGTTCTTGGTCGTAATAAAATAATAAATATGTGTATTATAAACTTATAACTTATTTTTTTTATAAAATTATAAACTTCGCACATTTAATAATCGTTATAAAACAATTAATCTTTTAATTACGACGTATTCTTAATTTATTTCTCTCTCTCTCTCTCTCTCTCACTATATATATATATGCATGTGTAAAACTTTATATAGATTTATAAATATAAAACTGAATATAAACTATTTACAAAATTGATTTTTTTCGTAGTGCACAATATTTACTTTTGTCTTTGAATGGAAATTATCTTTTGATTTATTTACTTTTCAATGGCTATAGTTTTGTATTTAAAGAAAAATGTAGAATTAACAATACATTAAATTATATATGTTGTCTGTATATGGTGTGTGTTATATACATTAAATATAAGCTCATCATCTTTCATATATTGCAATATATTTTTTAATATAATTGTATACATTTTTTTTTTAATTTAACTTTACTAACATTATAATGTTATGTATTATCGTAATATTAACATAAATTCTTAGACTGCGATAATACTTTTAGCAAAATTTAATAAAGAATATCCTTATTACAATTTTTTTTTACTTATTCTTTAGTCTTATCACTGTTCATTCATGTTTGTGTAAACTCATATTTATTGTATATTTTTAACTTGTAAAAAAAGTATTAAAGTATTAAAATTTTTACAATAATACAATGCATTGCTATATTTTTTAATTATTAAGTTTTTGGAATTTGTAGTGACAGCGACAGATAGCTTTAAGATTTATTCATATCTAACATATATATTTATAAAACGTGTATGAAATGCTCACTTTTCAAAATTAATTATAACTTTATTATCTAATTTAGAAGAATTTTGTTACTAAATTAGAAAAAATAAATTTTATGATTAGTACAGTTTTAATTTGTAATTATTAAAAAACTCTTAATAAATGTACCTCCAATGTTGTTAAAAAACCAATAATGTTAAATTTACCGATCGAAGGAATATAATTTTCTATTATTATCTAGTATATAGTATTACATCTACATACTTAATATAATTATTTGTAATAAAATATATAAATTTTATTATACTATCACTCATAAAAAATAATATTTATTATACTAATCAAATTTTAATTGCTGTCTTTATTCTCTTAAAAAGTATGAAATTATTGTGAAATTATATCTATTTTCTGGCTTAGACACGTTAACTGTAATACTTTATATTATTCAAAGTTGTTTATATTCTATATAAAAAAATATATATGTGATCGTTGAAAATGAAATTTAGTATGCCAATATATTAAATGAAATATTTTCATTCGTTGTCCTTAAAACTAAACGAATTTATTTAAATATTTAAAACATTCGCGAGACTTCCGTTTTAATAAAATTATCTTACATAAAATATTTCAGAAGAACTGGTTTCAAAAGTATTGTTTTGATACATCAAAATAACTCAATAAATTTTAAGAATAATCGTTCTATTATTTATTACATTTTATTTATACTCTTTTTATATATGATTTATAATTAAATTTTGACTGAAAAAGAATTTCTAAGTGTCCATGTTGCATGGAACTGATTTACACGCGCGTTCACACACACACACACACATATATATATATATATATATACACACATGGAATAATGCATACATAGTACGAATTTTTGTGTTTACGATCGAGACTCACCGTCGACCTTTTATTATCGTAGTTTTATGCACGATCGTCAACTAGGCATTGTCGGCTCATTCGTTGTGTGCACGAACAAAATTTATAATTTGTTGCAAAAATCATCTTCTAACTTTTTAAACTTATTCGATTTTTATATCCAATGTTCGGTCAGTTTTTTTTAGTTCTACCCCGTTTCACAATAAAGTAAATTAAAATCAACAGATAATGTACAAGCAAATAATGATATTTTACAATTAAATTT